ATCTGCATATGGCATCACTGTTAGCTACAGACAACTAGCCTGCCCAAGTACTCCAGGATTTAGTCCGACATAGTCCGAAGTCGTTTCCTTTCACACATTTATCATACATATATTTTTTGAACAATTTCTCACTAAATCCTGGAGTGCGGGAACAGGCTTATATTGTCGGTCCTTTCCTTTTTGATTTTGAAGCTGTTGGATGTGGTACTGGGCTAAAGGCAGTGTCACACGATTGGTACATTTGTACAGATTTGTACATTTTTGCAGTCACAGAGTGGCGTTCTTTAGAAATTTGAGCTCAGCTCAATACAAGAATTTTCAAACAACACTACTCTGTAAGTCCCCTTTCAGACACGTCAAGTCTTGCTTTCAAGTCTGATCGTTCGTTGGCGAAGGAGGTGGGACGAGAGGGGAAGAGTACAGATACCTCCGTACCGTCAATTCGTTTCCAGTTTTCTTGTCTCTTTTGATCTTTTCGTTGCTTCCCATTTAAGAACCAGGGACTTGAATTCAATTACAGTTGACGCGTGTGGAAGCAAATAGAAAACACAAAAGAGAATGCGAAAAAATTGCTTTCAAGACTTGACGTGTCTGAAAGGGGACTAACTGCCAAAATGTACAAATCTGTACAAATGTACCAATCGTGTGACACTGCCTCACGAATTTCTTTCAGAGTAATCCAGTAAGTATTGTGAAAATTACTTGTATGTCCTTGCAGTGCTAAATACAAATTTGATGTGTGATTTTAGTTAAGTATGCAAATGAATTCAACTGTTACCTGTATTTTAAACAAAACCCATACAAATATTAATAAAAACTGTCAACGATCTAAATTAAAAATTCAAACTACCATTTTAATTTAAGAATAAGAAGTTTTATTGAAGATTGATACTTTGATACTTAAAATTTTTTTTTCATGATACTTTTGATCCATTTTAGGGAATTTCGGTGACACATTTCCTCTGAACGCCGCGGCAATACTGTTCAACACGCCCGCTTTAGAAAAATTTGTTTAAATTTGAATTCGGGACAATTCCATCATATAAAAGTGGGAATTGAGGGCTATTGCTACTGGCTTATTTCATGAAAACATAATCAAAACTATTCGTTTTACTCCAAATTCATTTTGAACATGTAAATGACAGGCAGGAATGCGGCGCGACAATTGTATCTAAAAAAAATAATAGCGACACAGGTGACGCGTTTAAGCTTCAATGGAAATTGAGAGCATAGTTACGAACTCGAGTGCACATACATTTTTAGTTTATTATTAATTTCATGTAATTCATCTTCGTATTGTATGCTTTAGGGGGGAACTGCCCAGCCCCCACTTGGCTAAGCCCTTGTGTGTACGACTATACAATACATTAGGCTGGGTCGATACATATGTATGGAAGATATAAAAGTTATTTGATCCTATTGTTTTAGTGATATTATTTTACTTTCGTCAGAGCTGGGAGTTCTATCTGAGTTTTTTGACTATATTGATGATCTGAATATTCGAATATCTGAATAAAAATTCATTCAAATACTGTTTGGAATATAACCAAATGAACGAATATTAACCCGCATATCCGGATAACAAAACAAACGAATTATATTCAATAATTTTTTCAACAAACCTTTAAGAAACTAAGTATTTTTATTCATAAAAAACTCTATTTTTGGAGGTATTTTCAAATCGGTCCAGCTCACGTAAATCTTAATATTTTTCCGAAATATTTTGGCGAAAGTCTTAAAATATAATAGGTTTTATAATTCCAAAGGAAACACAGTACCTATTTTTTGTATGGGGAGTTATGCAGTCTTTTGTACATACATGTATGTATTTTCAAAACATTACAAATATATGCCTAATTTGTTATAATAATACAAGTAGTTGTGTATGCATCTTTATTTTTATAAGAGCGGTTGCTTCATTAGGAGGATTTTAGATAAGCCCCAAAAGTCTCATTAAGCGGGGTTTTCGTATAAGCCCCAAACGATCTAAATATTAACCGGGATTTTTATAAATGACTTTCCGGGATAAAGTGTCTGAATTTCACGCATTTGGCTTTGCTCTTATATCTGAAAATGACTGTATCTAAATTTTTGCTCTCACTGAGAAACGGTACTGCAGATAACTTGTTGGACTGCTGACTGGTCACTTCCCGTGGCACAAACACCTAACTATGATAGGTGTACACGACAACTTCATTTGCCCATCCTGCCTTGAAGATGATGAGACTGTGGAACACTTTTTGTGCTTCTTGCTTGCTTGGTTGTTTGCCATCGATTCTTCTAGAATTGGCCTTTTGTCTGTTGTCAGTTTCTCAATTTAAAGTTTGGCTTAAAAATCTTTGCGGTTTTGTTGTTTCAAGTTTTGTTTTCGGAGAGTAAAAATTAAAATGATGCCATCAACACAAATAAAGTATTTTACAAATACGCTACATCCAAATCCATGAGTGAGCCGAACTTGTGAGGAGCTTATGGTAAAGGGAATGTAATTAACGCTAGCGCTCGGAAAGCTCTTAAAAAATATAACTCCTCAGAGCAAGAGTACTTTGATGGCTTTACGAGCGAGCTCTGTGTTTAAAGCTTGCAAGTGTGTAATCACATTATTTAAATAAATATAACACAAGAATACATTTTCTTTCAATTCTTATGTAAAAATTTAAGATTATCATTTCACTAGCAAGAATTTGCAGCTCTCCCGTGTTGTTACGCTCTCGATTCAGTGCTCTCTTACTAATTTTTTGGGTTATCATACACTTTTCCAGTAAAAATTTGCAGGTTCCAGTACAAATTAGTACTGACTATTGGTTACTATACAAACCTACATTTCGCTAGTACGTTTTTGGCTATACTATAAATTTCGTCTACTAGTTGCGATTTTCCATGCAGGGACAGGCCTTTTCATGCATACATAAAAAAATACATCAAATACCTACATACATACTTTTGAATGTTTGTACATACATATATATACATACATATATATTATGTACGATCGCACGCGTTCTTCAAACGTGTATTACCAGAAAATTCCCCATTATTAACCGACTTTAAAAAGGAGGAGATTATCAATTCGTCGGTATATTTTTTTATGTATGTTACCAAATAACTTTGGACCTTTAACCGCGTTAACCGATTCCTGTAATTATTTTTTTAAATGTGGTCCCATACTAATTTGGTTTAGATACGGTCATTGGATCATAAAGAAATTAACGGTACTCTTAAATTGTATATGAAGAGAGACTTTGTTGTACTATTTTGTTGAATTAAAATATGTACATATATTGATAGATACGGCATTTGGTTGAAGATTAATATCACGGTGTTACAAAATAAAAAAGTTGCACGAACTTTCTAAGTGACCTAGTACAGGTCGTAGAGCTGGACGAGTAATTCACGAAACTGATTTCTACATAGAGGTATATGTATGTTTATATTCATATTTAAATTAAAATTGCCAAAATTTGTATCCTATATTGCCACTGATGGATATATTTTGGAATTTATGGGTATGTGTATATATGTACATATGTATGTATGTATGCACATATCGCTCATTTACTAAAATGTTTGCGCCATGATTCAATAATACAAAGTTCGATAAACTGACAGTTGTCTCTCTCGCACCGCTCCCTTAGCAGTGGCACGGTGTTGCTTCTTTGCAAATTTACTTGGAAAAAATGTAGCTTTGCTGTGAAATAGAAGTATAAGCTTTTGTGCAATATGTTTATTTGTATATGCATATGATGCACATTTAACTGATGAAAACATAAATTGTTTTTAAATTGGATGTTTACATAAATCTCATAGTAGTTTTATTTTAATTTTGAGTCCTTTTGCAGTTTTTGTACAGCTAAATATCACATAAATTACGTAATTCACGTATATATATTAATATTTCGTTCAATGTTTCGTTTAAAATGCCAGATTTCCTGCAAATACACTAGAATTTACAAAACTACTAATTGTCTACATTGCGTACTTTTCTACTACCATTTTCACAACAAGAGATTGCATTCCTCTCCTTTCTCTGTCCTTCGTAAATGCAACCTTTTGGTAAGGGAGTGTCAAACCGCGGCAGTCAATAATTATCAAACCTTGTATTATTGAATCATAGGTTTGCGCAACCAGGGAAACCAATTCTCCAATTTAAGGGGAATTTCAGCCAAGGGTGGGATTTGGGGAATTTGGTATTAACTAATATTTTCTTTTTGTATCGCTAACTTCTTAATGAGAAGAAAAAGTTGCATAAGAAATGCATTTGAAAGTAATGTGTATGCACCCCTGAAATATGATTAAATATTCAAAAAAAAAAAAAACAATTTTTGTGTAAAATTTTTTTGCGTTCCCGTGGTTTTGGGCAGGCATTTCGTACTTGCGCAAATTGTCCCGAAACAAGCCCGAAAATGTAAAAAAAACTAGTATACTTCGAAATACAAACCAGAGATACACTTATTGACAGTAAAAGCTAATACGCAAGCACGCCGGCAATAAACTGTAAAAATTTTATTATGCTCATAGGTACAACTTGTATGGGACCAATTTTTTTTTCTGCGTGACAGTTTGCGAACGCAGGTGCCTCGTAAAACAATTTGCTTTTACACACCTTCCACAAATGTAATCACTTTCACGGGAACTGCGCTTAAACAGTCGAGCGGCGTCGTCTATAACAGCTGTCATAAAAATACAAGTATTTGAGATTGACGGCGTAACGCATTTGCCCGCGAACGCATGTTATATACCTTCCTTTTAGACGGCGTGAAAAGGCGCCGTTTGTTTATATTAAGTTGGGCTGTGATAACTTCTGTCGTATCTATTATACATACGTGCATCTTTTAAAGTAAATAATTATTCGTACTAGTAAAGACACTCCACAAAATAAGTTATTAACTGCAAAAAAAACAACATATGCCAAAGGGAAACAATTCTTTACACCCTTTCCTCATTAAAAACGCCCCCAAACCACCAATCAGATTGGTCAATCTTTGAAAAACTCCCACGCGTACATTTTTCAGCGTCATTTAGCTCTTTCAATCACGTGAACAGCCGATCGCTCACTATATGGAAAACTTAAAATCCAAATTCCGTTCCTTCAAACTAACCGCAAGATGGACCACTCCATTAGAAATGTCAACATTAACTGAGCGCTATATTGCAAAACCGAAGTCTTACTTATTAAAGTCTTAGCATTTCTTTCAGCTTAACAAACATCGCCGTTAACAGCGTCGTCAACGTAGAAAGGAGCACTTTGCCAGAGTATGGGTATCATAACGAAAGAAAATAATTCCTCAGCCATAACAATGAGATTCCGATGGTAAAATGAGTTAGCACAAAATCAAGAGAGTCGTAAAGAAGCTCTGTAACATACAAAACGGGTCTTACGAGCCGACAGAGAATTAATTTTGCCCTTTATTCGCCACCGCTCCTTCTCAAGAACTTACGTTTCTCTCGTTTCATTATCGCTTTTTAATACGAAGACATTTACTATTTACATACATACCTTATGGGGAATAGTTGTTTCGTGCAAGAATATATGACGTCGACGCACTGCGTATGCGTCGCTGCTGTCGCAGAGGCGTTGCAGTCGGCGAAAATGCTCTCTGGCTGCGCAAAGCGTGTAACTGGTGTGAGTTTTCTTAGACCGAACTATATAGTTAGGCAAAAAGATATTTTCCGGTGGTGGGTTTAGTACATTTTGCTACATTTGCCTTCCTTATATACGTATGTATGTATCTATGCACTTCCTTCAATTTTCTTATTCGCTAGCTTTTTGTCGTAACTGCTTCGGGCCGTCTTGTAACGACAACAATGGCGAGGTATCTTATGTGCCTTCCAATTGGATTCGACTAAGCCGACCAATAGGAGAAGACTAAATAATAAATTAGGAAAGTCATTGCTAAATTTTATTGGGTGAAATGGGGTTTAACGTTTGATTTGTAAGTGGAATGAAGACCTTAAACCAAAAAGGAATATAAATATCGCACACTTCGTCAAAAGTACATAATCCTACATACGTATACTACACTTATGGCCCAAATAATAGGAACACGAAATTTTGACCAGTTTTGATTATTTTTTTATTGTTGGTTTAATGTTCATTGTTGTCTTATAAAAGTATAGCTCCTTACATACATATATGACAAAGACCACATAAATCCAAATTCTAAACATTAGGTATATAAAAATTAGAAAAACTCGTCAAAGTTTCATAAAAATTTCCAGTCTTTTAATCAGAATTTTAAGAATAGTTTTTGATAAGCAATGTTCCAAAATTTTTGAAGTGAAGCTTCTTTAGCGGCGGTTGGTTGGTTGGGAGTGAATTAGCAAATTGAACAGAAATTGCACACGGAAATGGTGCAACGGAAATGATGCAACGGATATCGATATCTATCGATTTTGTTATCGATATTTATCGGATTTGTTTTCGATATTTATCGATTTTGTTATCGATATCTATCCATTTTTTAATCGATTTTGTTATCGATATTTATCAATTTACCAATTTTGATATCGATTCCAGATAGATATAGACAAATATACACATAAATGCTCAGAGTGAATAGAGAAGTCGATTAAGCCATGTCTGTCTGTCCGTCCGTCTGTCCGTCCGTCTGTGTACCCGATAACTCGAGTAAAAATTGAGATATCTCAACGAAATTTGGTATGTAGGTTTCCATTAATCCAAGGTAGGTTGGTATTGAAAATGTGCGAAATCGGACTGTAACCACGCCCATTTCCCATATAACGGTAATTTACAGATATACGAAAACTGCGATATTTTAGTAACTACTAAAGATTATTCACTCAAAATTGATATTTAGAATAATTTTCAGACGAAAAATAATAATATACGCCCAGTTATGGTTACATATGTATATCTTGGTAACCGCTGCACCAATTTCTTCCAAACTTGGCACAGTTGTTGACCATGGTACAACATACTAAACGACCGAAAATTAGGAAAAATCGGACAATAACTACGCCCACATCCCATATAACGGTAATTTAGAGAAACACAAAATCTTCGACAATCAGTAAATATCAGAGCTAATTTATTCAAATTGATGCTTCCAACAATTCTTTACCAAGAAATACGTTTATGGTAAAATTTTTTAAAATGGGCGTGGCACCGCCCACTTATGATCACATATATGTATATCCGTAACCGTTCTACCAATTTGTACCAAACTCGGTATTTTTATTGTGCTTGCCACACGGTAACGGTAAATTTCAGCAATGCTTGAAACTGCAATATTTCGAAATTTAAGGACGCTAATTTACTCAAAATTGATACACCCCGGCTTACCATGTAGCGGTATCTTTCGGAAAGATGAAAAACATACATTTAATACTTGCGCGGGGTATTTAATGTTCGGCTCCCCCCGAACTTATACTTTCTTACTTGTTGATATTATTTTTATACTGTTTTTTGCTTCTCCTGTAAAATAATAAAGAAATTGTTGGTTAGGTCTTTGTGAATTAAGTAATTTTGTGTCGTTTGGTACCCGTATTGTAATATTTCAGTTATTTTATTAATTTAATGGAATAAAATTTTTCGAACAGATGGCAACCATCTTCAAAAATATTTTCGGCAGTAAACTTTCCTAAACCTCTTCAGTTTGGTACGCATATTTATATATTAAATTTTTCTTATAAGTTGAATTGAATTGAAATTTTCAAACAGGTGGAAATCTTACACAAAAAAACTTTCGCCTGTAAACCTTCTTAAAACTCTTTCTTTTGACAGACATATTGAAGTATTTACTTTATCTTATCAATTTACCTCAAGCAGGTGTCAACTCTCTAATTTTTTTCTTTCTATATTTTAAGTTAGACCACTAGCAATACATCGGTGAGAACTGTATTCGATTCCCAGCATTCGTGCTCTTGTGATGGGGGTTAGCTATTAGCAGTTGAAGTATGAAGTTTGATTTGCAGAGTGAAGGCTATGCAGATGTTTTAGAAGAATAGGTATTGTTCAATAATTATTTTTAAAATATTTTTTTCACGACGAGTTGGTTTATTTTGTGAGAGTCAACAATTTTTTGTTATTTGTTTTCGAAAACTTTTGATGAGGTATATTTTGCAAGGTGTTAAAAATCAGGTTTTTGGAAAAATTAAAATTTTATTGCGGATTCCGATAGAATACCTATCCAGAAATAAAAAGTTATGGAACAAATGTTGTTAACGAAGGGATATTCTGTCAAAATCTGCGTTTTTCTAACTTTAGTTCAACAATTGCCACGCCCATTTCTAGTGGTTTGTCGCCTGAAAGAAAAAGCTTACCGCAAAAATATTACACAGCAAACAAAAATGGAAATTTTAGTGCGGCAAATGTTAAAGCTGTTTTTGATAGACTCTTTAGTGCTGATTAAGAATCCGTAATTACAAAATTTCCATCAACTCCAGATTTTGAGATGATGTCACAATGACAAAAATCGCAATTTGCAATATTTGAGAAGCTCTTGAAAAGAGACAAAAGGTTATAGAAACTTCCACTTAGGCTTAAATTAAAGCTAGAACTCTCGACTACAATCCCTGAAAATACTATCCTGGCATTTTTATCTAATGGTCACTTATTGTCATTTATTGAATAGCAAAAACTGATTTTGGAACATTTTTTTTTGTTTTCAATGGCACAATATTCCAGTATTCTTTTAGTGTTTAACATATCGCACACCGTCTTCAAAAGAGTCACAACTCAAAATACTACGTTTGTCAGAAAATGCGAAAAACTATTTCTTAGCACATGATAATCATATGGGCAAGGGCGACTTTACCTAAGGTTTTTTTTAACAAATTATAACAAAACTTTGCTCTAGCTTTTGCTGAAAGGTAAATAGAAGCTCTGTGTACATTTGTAGCGCATAATCTCAAAAATGCCAAATTTTGAGTTGTGACTCTTTTGAAGACGGTGTGCGATATGATTGTTTATAAGTGACTACCAGGTCAATGTGCAGAGATGGTCTTTTTAGAGATAATAGTCTAGAGTTGTAGCTTTAATTTAAGCCTAAGTAGAATATTCTATCGCCTTTTGTTTCTTTGCTAAAGCTTCTCAAATATTGCAAAAAACGCGATTTTTTAACACTTTGACTTTAGTTATAAATGACTATAAGTGAATATCAAGTCAAGGTCAAGACATGGTATTTTCAGAGTTAGTAGCCAAGCTCTCTATCTTTAATTTAATGAACATACGTATGTATGAAAATTAAATAATTCAAAGTTTCAACAAAAAAAGAACATGCAAAAGTAAAAAGTTAAACAAATACTTTCGTCGATTGTCGAACAATTCGACGGCAAATTGGGCAAAAATACTTGTATTACCATTTAGACTAGTACGCGTACTGTGCTCTGCGAAGTTTAAAATGATTGGCCGAACTTCTCCGATTGGTGGTGTGTGCCTTGATTTCACACAAACCACTCGACCACGGCTGATATATGTTATTCTTTTTTGTTGTTTTTGAAATTTTTATTCGCCTCTCAGTTAAATCAGCGCTAAAAAACCTAAGAAGCTGAGAACAGATATGCGCATCAAATTGTAGGCTAAAAACAATAACAATTTACCTTTAATTTCCGTTCGATTTTATGTGTATACTGCAGAAGGGAATTCAACACAGAACGACACTGTATGCAAAAATAGAGAAATTTGTTTAAAATGCATTTCCTTTTTATGCTAATGTATGCCTTCAGATCTTAACACAAAATTATAATTGGAATGTTTCAGTAACATGAAGCCAGAGGAAATAATACCCCCGGGCTTTTATTTCCTTTTTAATGAAATAAAGCAAGCGAGTGTTATTTCCTTTTCTTTGGGAAATAAATCCCGGGCCAGATATTGTTCTTTCGCAAAGAAATAAAGCCCGCGGGTTTTATAGCCCATTAAATTTTAGTATCATAAATTGCAAGTCTTGAGTTGCTCAAAAAGTCCGTTGATTTTTGATGTCGGTGTACAATACGACTTCCCCATATAAGCTGCAGCCAAAAGTTCGTATATGAGCAACTCTCACGAGTTGTTTTTTTAGTGTCACTCCCTTCTTTCGGCAGAAAAAACCCCTAAAGCATTCTTCTTGCATTTATTTCAATTAATGGAGTTCCGGAAACAAGTAAAATAAAAAATATATC